AAAAGTGTGGATTATTGTAACCTGGATTAAAAGTGTGGATTATTGTAGTGAAGGCTTCGTCTTCAACCATCGACAGAGGCCTCATGTCAGTGACGATCATGTTCAGGATGTTTCAGTGAAGACAGCTGCTGCTGTGGTGTCCATGATGTCTGTCCATCATGAAGGATGTTGTTGTTTGTTGTCGTTTTCTGGAATGAGAGAGTAAATATGTTTTATATCATAATTTACAGCAACTCAAGAAACACCTTGTTTCACTTACAGGGTTAGGTTCAGGCAAAAGTAGCTAAAAGAGCAATTAAACACACACACACACATATATAAAATACTTAGTTACACACATTTGAGTAGATGTAATAAATGACTTTAATCCCTGTTTAAATGCAAATCATCCTGCCATACCTGCAGTGTCTTCAGACTTTGCCAACAAATTAAAAGTTGAAGCTTAATCATTAAATTATTATCTTTGTGTTAGATTTATTTATAAATCACATTTAAACACTGCTTGTTCCAATTAAATTAAATAAAAAGTAACACACGTTCTCTATCACCGTCATTAACCAGATAAACAAACAAACAAACAAACAAACAAACAGCTTCATCTACAGACAGACTGACGTTACGTTTTCTCTCTTGAAACAGAACAAAGTGTTAAATTGTAGAGACTCACCTGCAACACATGTTGTATCTGCTGCAGCTCCTTCCTCCTCCTCGTGACTCCCACATGTTTACGTTTCACCTCCCCTGTGTCGTGTCGTCACTTTTTCAAAGCTGCATGTTTCTCAGTTTTTATCTTTGTCAAGTTCTCCCACACTTTTAAGGACTTGGGTCGAACAGTGTTCTCCGCGTCTGTCATTTGCAAAATTGACTTAATTCCTTTGAAAACAGCCTCTGCTCTGCTTCCTCCTCGCTCTGTTTCATTATTATTTAGTAATTCAGTTTATTTTACCTACATGGATGAACTGTCCAGGTCATGTGACATTCATGTTTTGATCATTTCAGGTGCCATCAGGTGCCTAGATCCAGCAGTTGTTGGGACTTCTGCCTGCCAGCTCTTCTTGATGACGAAAACTTAGTGGAAACTACAAAAATCTTAATATAAGGACATTCTACGGAATGAAACTGACAAATGGATGATACACCTAGAAAATGTTTTTTCGGCTTTTATACCAACCTTTCACATTTTTGATTCAGTGCAAACAAAAACATTACCTGGATAATAAATAAACTGAATTAAAACAACGCACGGCTTTTAATTTTAGTCAGGACACATAATCTTGGTATAATTTGAAATGTTATTAAGCCTTATACTTTAAATTAAATTTGAACGCTGCCGGGGAAAAGCAGCATTTAGTAACATCGGAACAACCAAGCCGGAAATTCAGATCACAAGTTAAAAAAACACGTATTAATAAATTCATGTTAACTAAATATCGCCTGTTTGTAAACGCATTTAAACAGTAGAGCGCTTACCAGCAAATGATATACAGCTAAAAACAAAACGTAGCGCAGCTTCAGACTCGGTGTCACCGATAAAAACGTCCGTGTTGAACAGTGACGCTTGAACCGTCAGGTCATTTGCGCATGTGCCAAAATACATCAGCTGATTTGCACTTTTTTTTTAATTTTTTTATCAACTTTATTTCAATCAGACAATATTACAAAAATCTTCCAATCCAAAGAAGCATCAAAACACAATAAAAAAAAGATACATAACTATCACAGACCCTATCAAACTAGACCTCACAGTTCTTAACTAAATATAAATGCAACTATATCAACAAATATACAAAAATAACTTCAAGTTTAAATAGCAGAGGATCTGAAACATTAAACAAAGAAATTCAATACAAAGAGAAAAGGAATAATAAACAACAAAGGGATCTGCTTATAGGATAAAATTAAATTTCTGCATAAGAGTTTTTGTTCTTAGAAGTTTTTTATTGTTAAAATTAAGCTTTTCAATAGAGGCAATACATATTTTTAGGTCAGTTTCTTTAAAATTATTAAATGAGGGTATTTTTTCATTCCACTTCATTTTGTGTATGTAATATTTTGCTATAATTATAATTTGATTTATTATAAATAGATCGTCTGAAGAAAATAATGAATTATTAAAGATGAGCAATATTTGCATTTTTGATAACACAATGTACTTTTTAATTTTTTCAGTAAGAAGTTTTTGTATTTCAGACCAGAATATTGTGAAAACAATCTACAAATAGATGTTCGATACTTTCGCCTTCAGTCTGGCAAAAAGAGCAACTTTCTGACATTTGGTGAGAAACGGCCAATGTAGTCTTTAACTGGATAATATCCATGTAAAATTTTAAATATAAATTATTTAATTCTATTAGATAAAATATATTTATAGGACAATAAGAAGATTTCACTCCATAGTTTATTGCCTAAGTGGCCCCATCTATGTTTACTTATGGGAGTAGAGAAAGTAACTAACTGAGATCTGATAAACCTGTTATTAAAATTTTTATGCACTATATTAGTACCTTCAATAGAAACTGAATCATAAAAGTATAATTTGTCTAAATGTGTGGTTTGTGCTAGTGCATGTAAGTTATGAGGAATAGAATTAATGACCAAATCAAATTCTTTTTGAGAAATATCTATATCATTAATGTTAATAAAATTCTCGTAAGTATACCATTCACCATTAATGTCAAGTAACAGATAAATACTTTTGTTAGCCCAATTATGTAAGTATAATGATTTGTTTTTATATAAAATATAAGCATTATTCCATATGATGCAGTTATGAGGAGAGTAATTATGTTTATATAGCAGAGCCTGTTCATGGAACTTAGTTAACTTGATTGGAAGTTTTCCAACTGAGTAAGAGCAAC